TCATGGCGTCCATTAGCGCTACGAGGTCTTTTGCTGATTTGGCCTGTCGTATCGTCAGTGCGTGGAGTACGAGCTGACACATGCGTGTATGCTTACCATGCCACCGACGGCGTCGAATGTCTTGCTCAGGTTGAAGATGCCGTCCATTGGTATTTGCCCGGCCGTGGGTTTCAGAGCGTAGAGCGCGGCTCGGTTTGCGGGTGTGATCAACGATCCGATGGTGTCTGTTCCGATGGCTAAGGTGCTGAAACCTGAGGCTACGGCGACTGCGGATCCAGTTGATGATCCTCCTGGTGCGGAAAGCTCCCAGTGTAGCTTCCTTTTCGCGATGTGTCTTGAGACGTAAGGCGACTGACACTGTCCGCCCACTGCTGACCATCCTGGGGGCATTGAAGGGTTCTTGAGACCGCAGAACTCAGTCAGGTTCGATTTTCCGATGATGATCATGCCGCGCTTGACCAATCTTTCGACAATTGTCGCGCTTTTCTTGGGTATGCAGCCTACGAAAGCGTACGATCCTGCACAGCAGTAAGTCACTGGCCTCGATCAAAGTTACCAAACCACATACCAACTGTGGTGTCCATGCCTAGCTTCTCATCGGTCATGATGTTATCTTTCAAAACTATCGGGATACCATGCAGTGGGCCTCTTATCTTGCCTCTTGCCCGCTCATCATCCAGCTTCCTAGCCATCTTGATTACTTCATGCTTTGGCGCGACCGAAATCAATGCACGTAATTGTCTTCCTCTTCTGTTGTGCTGTTCAATTTCCTTCAAATACAACCGCACAATCTGTACACTCGTGAGAGCTTGCGCATTCATGAGTTCAGAAAGCTCAAAGGCCGAAATCGTAAGCGGATCAAAGTCTGGCAGCCATGCATCGTCGGCCGAAGATGTGAAGGATGCTTTGCGCGACGCACTACTGTTGTCGACAGATTCCCGTGGTTGTGCGTTTCCGATGTTTGGCGCAAGTGCCGTTTTCAGATATCTGAATACCTTCGGCATGGCTGTGTTGGATTTGCGACCGTCGGCTGTGCCCAATGTGGGGTGCGGGCGCGTGGGGATGGAGATGCCGGGATGTGTGTCGATCCGGGGTGGTGAATGCGGAGCGTGAACGTCGTTTGGAGTGAGAGTACGTGCGATGACAATACTGAACAAGCAGATCGTCAATGTAGGGAGATGAGACAGCCAAAAGCGTCTGCAGGGGACGTGGGCTCCGCTAGATTATGAGTGCTTGCCATGGCTGCGTCCGAGGCTCTAGACATCGCCAGTGGCTGCGGGTATGATCACTCCTTCGAGGCCTGACCGAACTGGACGTTCGCCTTCTGGCATCCCGGTCCATGGCGTCCATAGACTGTGTGGAGTAATAGGGTTGGTGGTTCCAAGGAAGCCAATCGAGGACAAGTATTTCCGGTAATTCGTCCTTTTTATTCTTCCTATTCGCAGATGCGAAAGCCCCGTAAGAACCACATGATGCGTGATCAGGTTGAAGTTGCACAACACTTTACCCGGAACGCAGGGCCGCACGGTGCTGTTGGCGGTTGACGTCTCGCTTACGGTCAGATGGTGGCTGCTCACCCTGCTCCCATCCAGCCGGCTGGATATTGGCACTCTTGGGTTCTGCGGAGTCGTGGTCCATTCGGTGTTTTTACCTCAAGAGTGTACCTGCTGCCTGGTGTCGGATGAGCTGGCTGATCTTTACTACAGCTACTTCACATGACTCTGCGGATTAATTCCAGTTACTGCATCAATACCACCGAGGTTCATTGTTCATCATGAAGGATTTCCCTTCGTGATCTTCATCAAGGTCTGTCCCAGTGAACCTTAGCCGTTGCTCGAGATCTCTGCGCCCTGGTGGCACAGCGATATACTTTTTCGTGAGACGATAAGAAGACTTATCCTCTTAAACTTGAGCAACCATGGCGTCCTTCGTGTATACCGGACTGGGTAATGTTGGGGAACCTGAACCCCTGTCTCGCTTCCAGACATAGGTTTGCCGTGTTATGCGGGGTATCGACTCCTACAGCTTTGGTGGTTTGATACGAATTAAACATGGTTGTTGCAGTCGCAACACGTGGACATCGAAGCGCTACGACGAATGGCCGTTCGATCGAGGCTGACAGCGCGGCCAGGCCCGCAGGAGGCACGCGGGAGTCACTGTCACATCACGATCAAGGACCGATTAGAACGGCTGGCGCCGTGGCACAGTTCTCGAAGAGTGCTGAAAACTCCATGGCACGGTAGCGCCTGTCAGCCAGGCGGCACAGCTAGCCAACCTCGCGATAGCGTCAGCGCTCCAACCTGCCGCCATGCGTCCAGATGCTGAAGACGCAATATGCAGCCCCATACTTTGCAATATACGACGCCACGCTGTATAAATTACCTCCAGGTCAACTGATACCACTGGGTAGTGTGTGCGTAGTTGCCACTTCCGCCAATCTGGACTGCGGGATCCCTCACTGCCGTAGGTGGATGTCAAAAGCCGAGGCAGGTCCCGGTACTGCATGCTGGGAATTAATCAAAGATGGATGCGGGGGGAAGTTGTCTAGTCATTGGATAGGTCGGGGATGCGAAAGTCTGACACGTAGAAATGGAAAGACGGAAAAATGATCGTTGACTATCGCTAACTCGACGCCAGCTTAAAGCATCTTCTGCGGAAAGTGCGACCTCTGCCGTCGTGTCGCAGACGGGATAGTGGATACCATTCGAAAGTGACGAGTGATTAGAGGTAGGCACGCGTAGGCTGCAATACAAGTGTCGAGTGATACCCTATAGCAGCTCTTCATGCCAAGTATACGATCCATCAAACTACCACAGACGAGCATGTCCCTAGAACGTCGTCGTAGCCAGTCTACTCGCCGCATTCTTCGCGTCAATGCGATCATCATCCTCTTCGATACCCTTTTGGCTACCTGCCTTGCTAGTCGCACGTTTCCTCCCATTCACAGACTCTTCCTCATTCTCATCGGCCTCGGGTAAAGGCGCCACGATACTGCCGCTCATGCTACGATTGAGGCCGTCACCTGGGCGCCTTGGTACACCGGACCATGCATCGCCCTTGGGACCTTGTGAACTGGCCATGGGAGTACGGCGCTGAGTGGGATGTGCTTCGCGACCCAGCCGGGAAAGGCCACCGCTACCGTCGATAGCGCGGATGTCTGGTCGTACTGATTCTAGTGTCGCAAGTGTACGGCGCTCTGCTTCGATTTCTCGCACGACGTATTCGCGGATCGCTTGCCGCATGTCTTGTGTGGTCCTGTTGAACCATTTGCGTTGCTCTTGTAGGAGGTTGGCTGTGACGCGCTGGGCCTTGGTCGTGAGGTATTGTTCGTGGCTTCTCGCTTCGTCTAGGGCTGCGATAGCTTCGTCGACTTTGTCCCGCTTAACGCTCGAGCTGGCCTTGAGCCTATCGGCTGCGGACAGCTTGGACTTCGTCGCGGATTGTGCTTGTAGGAGCTCGCGAAGGAGGATGTGTCGATTTGTGAGGGTTTCTTTCGCAATAAAGGCGTCGCTGCTGTGGTACTGGAAAGGGTCACCGAGAGTTGTAGCTTCGGCAGTACCCTGTGCTGCGTGGAAGTCGCCCGTGGCCTGGATAACCTTCCCGAGCTTCTTGTATGCGTGTGAGAGACCGACGTGTGTTTCTTGGACATGCAGCGCTGCGAACTTGGCACCGAGGTCGGACTCCGCGACGCCCAGATCTATATCTTGTTAGCCATGTACTGGAGTGTCTGCCTAGGAAGCGCCTACTTCTCCTGTGCTTCACGACCTTCTCTAGCTTCTGCTCCGCCTCCATTGTGCCTAGGTAAAAAGCCTTGACGACTGGTCGTGCCGCAGCAAGTTCCGGTGTGTCGTCTGGCGGCGGCGCGAACTGCTTGATCATCTTGCGGCGCACGCCAGTCGCAGGCTGTTTCCTCCGCACCACAGGGCTGTATCCGAAGTCGCTCTCCACAAAAAAGACCATCTCTTCATCGCGTATCAAGATGTCATTGCTGCATACAATGTTCAGCCACCGTTGTAGAGAAGTCTTCAGGCGTGCCTCGTCTTCGTCGGTGCCTGCGCCTGCCGAGGTAGTCGCTGGCGGTACTGCAGGCACAATAGCTTCGGGGCATGCTGAGATGAGATGCTCGCCCAGCTTGACAAACTCGGAGTGCAGGCGTCGGACATCGCGGAATTGGGTGGTGCGGAACTTAGGGAGATTCGTCTGGAGACACGTCAGTAGGAGTTGGAAATGGGGGCTAGGCGTGCGCGGTATGGGGAGGATTGGTGCAGCTATGCAGTCCGACTGAGATGCCGGAGAAGCACATGTCTACCTTGCACCACGCCTCAATGTCCGCTATGTCGCGCGCCTCTAGCCCGGTCGTGTCGATGTTGTGGAGACGTACGTAAACATCGAATCGCAGTATCGGGTCCTTCTTGCTATTCCGCTCGAGTCCCGTGACCTTGGCCTGGAGCTTGTAGTGTTGCTGTTGCCGCTGCGGCCTGTTGCCGTGGTATCGCTGCGGCTGCTGCTGGCCCTGCTGCGCATTGGGTGACCGCGGCGCATCTTGGCCCGGCATCTGTGATTGCTGCAGATGGTCGCCGTTCTCTGGCGCCGTGCCCGGCCGGCTTTGCGCATCTTGGTCGCCCATGTAGCCGTACTGCTCACCACCTTCATGGTACGGGGAAGCCTGCGGAGGCAGCGGGGATGAGGGGATGTCGTTGGTCGGCGGCTGGCCAAACGACGTTCGGTTGGCCTGGGGCGACGATGCCCATGGGTCGCGGCCGCCGGGGTGGTCCGGGTCGTGGGCGCTGTAGTCCATGGTGTGTGGTGGGGAATTGGAGCTCTGGACAGCTGCACCGAGCTGTCGAGTGATGCGATGATGTCGCTCGAATGCCCTGACCTGCCCTGGAATTAGCCGAGCTAGGCAAGGCGCGAACGCTGACATCCTTCACATCACGTGCGACTGCCAAACAGTCAAACGCTGTCCATTCGCCCATCTATCACACTGAGCAGTATTGGGCATGAGGGTCGGATGGGTCACGTCAACCTGTCGAGTCTTGCGACACCATGTGAAGACTCCGCGGCGCTTGCTGTCGACGCAACCACACCATGATCTGCTTTCCAAGGCCACCCGCAACATTGGCATCATCGCCCACATCGATGCAGTAAGTGTTGTCTTCTGTTAGTTAGATTTGTTCTGACGATTTGGTAGGGAAAAACGACAACGACTGAGCGTATGCTCTACTACAGCGGAGTGACAAGGCGAATAGGAAGTACGTACCCGTTGTAACACTTTGAACGCTATGCTTTCTTTTCGTTGTCGATTGCTTTTAGTTAAGAGACATGCACTATCCCTTATCTGTCTCTATTCCGATTCCTTTTCTAGACGTTTTGGAATCCTGACTAAGTGCTTTACCTGCATCGACCACTTCCTCATTCAAGCCTGGCCATTATCATTTGAGTCGATCAAACGTAGAATCTAGGAGCCAGATTAGATTTTATCTAACAGCTTATAGACGTCGATGAAGGCTCGACAGTGACCGACTTCCTCCCCGCGGAACGAGCACGCGGCATCACCATTCAATCCGCAGCCATCACATTCCACTGGCCTCCCCTACCACCAAGTACTCAGACTCCGCCCCCACCACCACAGCTACCAGCCTCATTCGACAATGTTCTAAGATCTTCAACATCCCACAACATCAATCTCATCGACACGCCCGGTCACGCAGACTTTACTTTTGAAGTGTTGCGTTCGCTTCGTGTATTAGATGGAGCTGTATGTATCCTCGATGGAGTCGCCGGTGTTGAAGCCCAAACGGAGAAAGTATGGACGCAAGCTGGACATTACCATATCCCTAGGATCATTTTTGTCAACAAGCTGGACCGTGTGGGCGCCGCGTTCTCACGAACAGTTAAAGAGATAGGCGTCAGACTGCACGGATGGCCAGCCGTCTGTCAAATTCCGTGGTGGAAGAATGGCAATGGCGACTTTGTTGGAGTCGGTGATGCTATTAACTTACGCGGTATGCTCTGGCAAGCCGGTGGCGATGGCAGAGACATTCAAGCTTTCGGGCTGCAAGATTTGAGCAAGACTGATGAGAAGTTTGCAGAAGAGATCAAGAAAGCGAGGATAGCCCTCGTTGAGATTTTGAGTGAGCACGACGATGTCATGGTTGAGCACTTCTTGGAACACGATGAAGACCATCTTGCTATCTCTGGACTGCAGATCATGCAGTCATTACGCCGAGTCGTATTACAGGCACCGCAGAAAGTCATCCCGGTCTTCGCTGGCGCCTCTTTCCGCAACATCGGCGTTCAACCGCTCCTTGACTCGGTCGTTGATCTACTCCCCTCACCACTCGAACGACCAGATCCTGAGATCAGCATCTCCAATCAAAGCAGCACACTATCATCTCTTCTCAGCGCCGCAGCGGCAGTACCAACGAAGACCACCAAGCCATCGAAGAAGCAACAGCAAAATGATGGCGAACTAGCTATCGCAGAAGTCAAGAACCTCAGCGCCTGCGCCCTCGCCTTCAAAGTCGTCAACGACGCCAAACGCGGCGTCCTCGTCTACGTCCGCGTCTACTCCGGCTCCATCGACCGCGGCGCCACCCTCTACAACACCAACCTCTCCCTCGCCGAACGCGCACCCCGCTTGCTCAAAATGTACGCCAACGACGCCGTCGAAGTCGACAGCATCTCCGCCGGCCAAATCGGCGTAATAACGGGTCTCAAGCACGCCAGAACCGGAGACACGTTAATCGTCTACCGCGGCCTCCAAATGAAAGGCACACCCCCCGGCGGTCTTCACACCCTCCAACTCCGCCCCATCGCCGTGCCTCCCCCCGTCTTCTTCACCAGCATCGAACCGAATAGTCTCAGCGAACAGAAACACGTCCAAGAAAGTCTAGCCATCCTCCTCCGCGAAGACCCCAGCTTGCACCTTTCCATCGACGAAGAATCTGGGCAGACCCACCTCGCCGGCATGGGCGACTTGCATTTAGAAATCGCACGAGACAGACTGCTCAACGATTTCAAAGCCAAAGCCCGGATTGGCAAGATAGAAATCGGGTATAGGGAGACGATTACTACGATGACGCCAACGGAGCCGTACACATATACGCTGGACAAACTCGTTGCGGGGAAACAGACGAAAGCTGCTATAACCGCTTCTGTGGAATCTGTGGAAGACGGGAATGTAATCCCGCTTTCTCCTGTTCAGAACCAGGTCGACGAACGACAAAGTCGGGATAATCCATTCGAAAGCACATACCCCCTCCCGGACAACAACACCCTGCACATCCTCCACCCCGCCCTTTCAACCACAGACTCTGCGTCCCATAAACAGCACATCCCCCCACACCTCTCCCTCCCGGGTGTCTTACACGCCCTGCAAGCTGGTGCCAGCGCCGCGCTTGCTCGGGGCCCATTCAACGGCTTCCCCGTAGCGAACACACGCGTCACCCTCACCCTCTCCGCTTCGTCACACCTCTTCCCCGAAACAACACCCACAGCGCTTTCCATGGCTGCCCGCGCGGCTGTAGGAGCGAGTTTACGGCAGGCGAGTGAGGCGCAGCCGGCTACACTCATGGAACCGGTTATGAACGTGACGATTTTTGTTAATGAGGGGAGTATGGGCGCCGTAGTCCAAGACATCACCTCCTCACGCGGTGGCCAAATCCTCTCACTCGATGGCTCAGACTCTTCCTCCTCTTCCCCATCCTCCTCCTCCCCCACCTCATCCTCCGACTCCTCCGAATCCCTCCCCCGCATCGACCCCCACCTCATCTACACGCCCCCCGACCCCTTCGCGTCGGGAACGGGTGATGTGGGCAGCGGTCTGAGCGATAGCCAGAGGCAGATTGTGGCTAGGGTGCCGTTGAAGGAGATGGTGGGGTATTTGAATCAACTGAGGGCGTTGACGGGCGGGAGGGGCACGTTTGTGATGAGTGTGGATGGGTTTGAGAAGATGGGGATGCAGAGGCAGAGGGATGTTTTGGAGGGGTTGAGGGAGTTTTAGAGGAGGAGGTGGATAGAGGGAGGGGGCGGATGGAGAGGGGAGATGAGGGATGGAGTGTATGAGTAGATGATGTAGTATAAAAGTGTGTATATCTATTCCAAACCATCCCAATGCAATATACGCAATACGCTGTAGATCAACCCAGTATCACCACCGCCATATTTCCCCTATACACGACAACACACTCACGCCGTAAGCGCACTACTCAACCCCAAAATCCCCATCCCCGCAAACGCACTAACAAAGCACAAGCGCCTCGAATTCGTCAAGTCCAGACTCTCCCCAAGCAACTGCAAGCTCACCATCGCCATAATCCCCGCCGTAACAGCAAACATACATCCATAAATAGTATCCATGCCCTCATCAGCGCCGTGCTCCCGACCCCTGCCTTGGATCTTAAACCACAGCGCTGCGACACCGGCACCAAGGGGCTGACTGACACCACCCAGGACGGCAGAGATGAGCATGGCTTTCCAGCGGGAGCCGATGGCGAGGTAGAGGGGGAGAGCAAGAGCGAAGCCTTCGGTTATGTTGTGGATGAAGAGGGCGAGGAAGATGGAGAAGCCGAGGGTGGGGTTGGCGTGGTTGGTGGCGTAGGTGATGAAGCCTTCGGGGATTTTGTGGAGGGCAATTGCTGTGCTTGTTTGGAGACCGAGGGAGAGGAAGGCGTTTGTTGGGACGTGGTGGTGGTGTTGTTGGGCTTCCTGGTCATGTTCGTCGTGGCTGTGGCTGTGATGGTGGTGGTGGTCAGTGTGCGATGAGGTAGTCGAGGATGAGCGGCTGTGCTTTTGGAGGGGTTGGATCTCGTGTGCTGCGTGGCCGTTGGTAGACGGTAAACTTGCAAAAGAGCTTTCCATGGTGGCTGGTCCGGACTTTGTAGGTACCAGAGGTGTTGTTTCGTTCACATCCTCCAACGCTGTTCGCCGATCATGCGGTCCCTGCGAGGTTTGGCTCCTGCTCATCCCAGATGGTCGTGTAACACTCAAACTGCCTAGAGACTTTCGTGACTGCAAGCGTGAAGGCCGTACTTCACACAGATCACCATAGCATTGCCCATTGTCAGTGTCGTCACATGCTTTTTCGGCACCGACAATTAGTTGCGAGACCTTGGAGGACAGCGTCTTATGAAGAGATGGTCTCTGGGGTAGGGCGGCTTTCGAGTTCACGCTGCTAGTCCCGTACGAAGTATGCTCGTCATTTCCGTGGGTGTGCGGAAGACTGAGCGGCTGCTCCTGCATCGGTTGGTGAGAATGCGATTCCTGTTCTTGAAATTTCCCCTGCTCTTCGTCCTCATGTTTGCTTTCGCAGTCCACAACTGAGTGTGGAATGTACTGGTGCAGTATTCCGGAAAGGACTGAGATGCCAAGAGCACCAACGAGGAAGCACCCGACCAAAGTCAGTATTGCATTGCGTGGTGACATGCCTCCCTTTTTCAGATAGTTCTTCGCCGAGGGAAGCATGCTGTACAGTGACGAAAATATCTTGAAGTCTCGTCAGTCAAACCCCGACAAAGCCCAGCAGCTCGACTCACCATAACACCAAAAGAAAGACTCAGTCCCGTCGACAAGAACGCATTACTCTCTTCGATCTTAAAGTTCCTCTTGCCAGGAAAATATCGCACAATGAGGTCGACGCATATTATCGAAGCTAGCCATCTTTAGCATCTTCCCTGGATGGAGTTCTCGGAATCCCGGTCGATGGGATCAACCGCGGGAATAATCTCACCTCCAAATGTACATGCTGTTTACGCGTTAGCTCATCTGTTCCCCGTGAAATCCATGCAGCTTCCCGCGCAATCGTCAATCATACCTATGCCGCTGACCGCAGTCATGATCCACCCACGCGTATCGTTATCGAGAACCATGGTGCCTGCCTGCAGGTACACTTTGGGAAATGACGTCGTTATGCCAAGCTCCTTGTCTTCACACGGATAGGGGATAGGTGCGGAAATGCAAAGGCGATCAGATTGTTCTAGAGAGCGGGCGGCAGGCGGATAAGAGATGATGAAGTTTGTATGTACAAGAGGGTCCTGGTCAGATGAGGCGTCTTCTTCGCACCGTGTTGGCCTCCTAGCGCGTCGAGGACAGTCAAGGAAAAATCGGGTTTAGCGGCTTGGCGATCGTGCTGATACTCGCGGGCTGTCATTGGCTGGAGCGAACGAGGCCGGGGTGTCGCGTTTCGCCTCACGTTGGATGACAGCTACAAACGGACGTAAACAGGGAGTGTCAGTACTCGAGGACACAGTTTGAAGCTTTCAAAAAGACTTTGCAGTGACTAGAAAAGTGTCCTGCATATATGGGGGAGAGTGCATGAGAGGCAGACACACTAGTGCCCAACAAGGAGGCGGTGTATGAGATCAGACACGTGAAGTATGACATCTGACATTGTGTGGCTGACAATCATGAGGCTACTGTGATTGTGACTTTGAAATTACGACTAGATGAAAGAAGAGAACAAGCCTCCACCTTGTCGATGAACACGTATTAAAGTGTTAGACCCAAAATACTCCTAAGCATCCTTGACCAGCCCGCGCGGTGCGGTCAAGGACGTTGCTTCCTATTCGAAGCATGTTGGTGACCGTAAAGGTAAAATTCTAGAAAGCTCGGTGAGCTGCAAACGCCGTATTTCCCATCCATCCCGCTATGCATGACAAAGGAAATTTTGAAGTACTAAATAAAGGCCGTGAGAAAGAAGTCGTCGTCGATGTTCGTGTCTCGAGCGATCAAGACTGGGGAGGCCTCGGCACAAAGATCTTGCTCCATGCACCAGGGCCGTGTTCGGGTTTCTCATTGATGACAAGGAGATTGGGCGATGAGCAATAACCGCCAGGCTCTGCCCTCCGCTCCTGCTCAACGTAATGGCCTGCACGATCGGCTTCGGTCGCGTTTTGTGCGAAAGCCGCAGCTGGGTGGTCGTAGATCCAGACCTTGTCCGTCACGAGCTGCCCTGGCTCTTCATCGAAGCGGGCTTTCTTATCAGGGAAGCCGACAAAGTAGTTGAGAATGTCGTGAATCGGAGCGTAGAGACGTTCCGGGCGGCGAATGAAAGAGAGCCAGCTCAGCGTCTTCTCATCGTACGCCACTCGAACAAATGGGTTCATGTATATCCTAGATTCCGCAGGTCGGCCTCTTCCAGACATTCGGTACTGCAAATCCGCGTGAATCAGACAGCACTCGGAGGCTTCCCAGAAAGTTTCGTTGTCGTGACGGAAGCGGAGCGGGAAGATGCTGTGGTTAGGCGTCCCATTCTGCGGGTTGGCGGGTTCGGGCTGGACTCCTGTCTCTGACTGGAACCATTTGGCGTCAAAAGCCACCATGCCGCCCCAGCAACTCCGCACCCGTACCGCATCTTTCCCTGCGAGCACATCACTCCTGCTCGTCCCTGTTCCCGCGCTGGTGAACCACGGGAAGAAGGGCAGCCCGGTGATCATGCCGTCGAAATCGCGCGTCGCGAAGCGGTCGTAGAACTTGAAGGGCATGATGTGGTCGACAGCGCATGCTGCAGCGTAGTCTGCCCGTCCGGTCGAATCGATGTTGGTCGCGAAGAGGAGCTGCGCAGCTTCAACAGGGTCGAAGTTGACGTCGTTCAGGTATAGGACCTTGTCGAACCTGACGCCAGGCTGGTCGATCGGCGCAAGGGCTCGGTTGCGCACCTCAGCAAGGAATGCGATGCGTTTGAGGCGTTTCTCGCCGTTGGGCAGCGTAATGTGGGGGAGAGAAGCGAGGTCGAGATCTTCGGATACAATGGTCGAGTTGCCTGGGGGTTGTCAGCGATCTTTGCACAGCGGCACGAGGCGAAGCGTCTCACATTTGACCTGGTCGCGGAACGAATCCAACGACTGCTTCGTCACCAAATCTGGGTTATCCTCATATATGCTCAGATGGACATTCTCCGGTCCCAGCAGTTCCACCAGCTGCAGCACTTCCTTACCCCACGCGCCAGACGTCAAGTCGCCCTTCTTTTCGGCGAGCGAGGCGGCTATGAAGACCTTCTCGTTGTAGGGGTTCGCGCGGCCAGTATCCGTGGCTCGCTTGCGTAGCTCGTCGTAGTGTGGAGGCCTGACTGTGTAACTCGGGAAGAAGATGCCGGCAACTAGCACTAGGACGATCAAGAGGTACGGTACGGAGAATAACGTCCAGTACAGGATCCGGAGAATGGATCGCTTGCGGCGGCGCGGGGTGACGTAGTGGGCGTATACGGCGCGATCCGAGAGCTTGTTGACTGCATTAAAGCGACTGCTCAGCCGGTTGAGCCAGGAGCGTCGTGGATTTATTAATCCTTCATCTTGACCGACAACAGCCTCTTCGCCATCAACATCGAGGGATTCGCGCGGAACCAGCTCATACTCGTGTATGGGCCGGCGGGAGGGTTTAAGCATCGGAGGATCTTAGGGGGGTCGAAAGGGGCCTAGTTAACTCAGGTCCGCGGGCGCCATCAAGCGATGATCGGGCGCAGGGCTGCAGTGGAGGCGTTTTGTAGCGTTGACTACAACCACAGCAGAAGTGAGTGTTTGTATATCGGAATGGGAAGCGGCGGGAAGTAGTGAGTGAGGACACGGCAGCAGACTTGCACAACGCAGCGAGGTTCCGCTTCTTGGGGACGCGCAATTCACACGGACTCGCGACTGTTTGGTTGGGGTCACCCATCGCACAGGGTCCAGCTCCCTGACGACAGCCCTGGAGTGGAGAAGCGCGAACGTGCCTCGTCTTGCCTTGCCTTTTCCAGCCGAGTGCTCCAACTCTAATCACGACTCAGTCCTGGATAGCCGTTTCGAGCGCCCTGTTGTGGGTGACCCTCGCTGATCTGACAAGAGGCTAACCCTCCGCGCTGCCAACTGCCAACATCCACAGTCGCACCACGCCCCCAGAGCAGAGCATGTCGCGAACCCTCTCACTGGCAACCCTCCTCGGCAACCGAAACTGCTGCATCGTCATCAACATCATCAACAAGTCTTAGCCCATCCTGGCGGCTGGGCCTTCTCTCGGTGATTAGTACCCTCATCAGAATCTGCACATGGGTGGCTTGGCCAGATTCTCGGCCTCTTGGTCTTCGGTCATTTGGACGTCGATGCCACAAGCGAAGATCCATCTCCCGGAATCGCGCGGAGCTTTCCGTCGTACGACGCTCGTAGCCGGCGCGTACCTGGCAGCGTATCGATATACGAACGCGCGTGTACATTTGCACTGCCTTACACCACTCCACAAAACTCAAACGAGGGGCTCATGCCGTTACGCAGACATGTTATGCTCACAAACTATATCACGGTGATTGCTAAAGCTTACACAGCATACTCGTCACATCGCTTGATGCCCGTGTCTTACGACGTACGTGATGATATCTGATCCAACTATTGGTCGTCCCCTCATGCAGAAGAGCATCTGCCACGCTAGCGACGCAGCAACCCTGGCTTTGATCCTCCACGCTCGCAACACTATCCCCAGTCCCATCCCACCACTACTCACCTTTGTCCAGACTCGACACGGCTGACCTAGGCGAGCTGAGTGGACTTCGTAATTGCGAAATAGGAGACAGTGGCGCAGACGCAGGACTAGCCTTCGGACGACCAACACTGCCGGAAGCCGACGGTATCTTCGGTGCACTCAGCTGCCCTTCAGATGTTGGAGTACATGGTTCCTCAACTACCGGCACCGGCATGGGTGAGTAGCGGGGTACGTCTTGTGTTGTCGACGGCCGTTCCTGTGGTTTCTGCTCGGACTGTCGATCGTTCCATCCGCCGAGCTTCGGTTCTTCGTCTCGGGCGCTAGCAACGATCCGTTCCCTTTCTTTCCTCTGACATGTGTCGTCGTTTAGCTTCGTATTGGTCTCTTTCGCTTCATAGTCTTCTTTTCGAGGCTCGTCCTGTCTTCGTCCCTTGTTCCTCGGACTCGTCGTCCGCTGTCTCCACCGCTCGTACGTCCGAGACCGAGGTACGCTAGAGCCTATTACAACAATTGTCAGCATGCACTCCATGGAACAAACGAGACTTCAATCTACAAACGAGCAGCGGGATTAGGGTAGCATTACTCGGTGCCGGGCGCGTCCTGCTCGTGTGCAAACCCCATGGCCTCGCTGTATACCCGCTCATCGGCGTGAAAGGGGCGTACCTGGCTTGATTATCTAGTCCATCCGCCCCCGTTGTGTCGCGCATCCATTGCCGGGGATACGATCGAGGCGTATTCCACGCTCTCGTTGCTGAGTACGGATGCGGTGGGTACTCGAAGGGCAACGTATCTGCGAACCCAGGCGTTGCTCGCGGTATTGATTCTCTTGGGACTTCTTGCGTGGCGCCAGACGGGTCGCTAGAGCATGACGACGACGATGACGACGATGGAGGCGTTGCCTTCTTCAGCGCTTCCTTTTTCAGCCCTTCTAGCACGATAGGCGGGTATTCATCGCAAATGTGGAAGAAGTCGACTTTCTCGTGTCGACGTGCCCGTTTAGCCGGGGATTTTGGCTTCACTGGAGGAGTCCTGTGGTGCATGGCCTTCGGTACATCCGTACTCATCGTCTCTGCGTAGGGTTGTCGATGTGTATACCGATCTCGAGGCTGGTACTGAGGCGGATACTGAATGGGTTCAGGCATCGTTGCCGCCATCTGCTGGAACGGCTGTTGCGGTGCTCCTGTCGGCATAGCAAAGGGTGGCATCTGAGCCGCCGCTTCATTGTGCCATAACACTGGCATCTGTTGCGTTATACCCGGATGGTGGCACACAATATTCCCGACCCCGACGGGGAATTCTTTTCGCCAGTCGTCTGGATGATAAAGCGACTGTCCGTAGAGTTGTTGTTGTTCTGGCCCGCCAATTTGCATCACTGGCCTAGGCCTCCCCCCATCTCTCTGTCCCACCCACTCTCCATTCCCATTCCCATTCCCATTCCCATACCCCACCCTCTGATTCTCCACATCCCTCCCTTCATAATACTTCCTCGTCTGCGATCTCTCGCTCCTTCCTCTCTCCCTCTCCCTCTTTGCAGACCTCGATCGGTGTTTCGACGGCTCTCGGTAACTGTCAGACTCTCGCTGCTCCACCTTCTCAACATATATAACAGGCGGTTGCCGCGTGCGGCCAGGAAAGAAACAATGGAACCAATGCTCCAGTTCGTAGCAGCGCTGGTGGATATAGCGGTGGACGTACCACAGACCGAGGTAAACGAGTGCTGTGCCGAAGATACCGGCGAAGACGAGGGCGATTATGAGGTTAGTCGTTGCCATAATTGAAGTCAAGATCAAATCAAAATCCGAACAGGGGCATATGACAACAAAGAGAATCAAAGCGAAGAGGACGGAGACACGACTTTGCATTTCACCATTATGCTAAGCGCGGTCGCACAGACTAACTTCTAGTAAGTTTGTCAAGAAGCAACACCACTAACGATGCAGCAAACATTCAGCATGCCGTGCAACAACCCCAATTCTTGAACATACACATGCCAACGCAGTAGCCGCACCGATGAGGATCCCCCTTGGCTCTGGAGGCTCGTGTTTCTCCATAGTTTGTCCCGCAACGCTTGTAGAGGAGTCTAGCTGTTAATGGAAGCTAGCCCTGTGGATGTCAAGTATTGGGGTGTGGTACATGCTCGAGGGACAAACTCGTGCGACGGGGCGTAGGCGCTTGTGCGAGTGTAGTATGTTGTACGGAGAAGGTGAGGGAGGGGGTTGGGTGCGTGGTTTGTGTTATGGTGGGTTGTAGGTTGTTTCGTGGAATGAAGTCTGTGGTCGTGGTTAGTATGTTTTTCGGTATCTCCATTTGAGTGATTGTCAACATACCTGGTCTCGCTCAGACCCTTTCTACCAGTTCCCCTTGACGTCGTTGCCACCACCTGTGTCCCATGCTGCTCCGCCTCCGGTGGTGTCCCATCCTCCTCCTGTTACTGGTGCTGCTGCTCCTCCACCTACCCCAGTGTCGTCCCATGCTGGAGCACCTCCATCTCCACCGGTATTACTCTTGGCTGCTCCTCCACTCTTCGCGCTGGCACTCTTGGCTTTGCTTCCTCCAGCATTTCCGTCCTTAGCTCCTCCGCCTGCACTCTTGCTCTTCGCCTTATTGCTCTTCCCTCCTCCACTTCCTCCATTACCATCCCCTCCTCCACCAGCACTCTCCCCCGCCCTTATCTCTCCACCTCCACCTCCACTCTTACTCTTACTCTTCCCACCTCCACTTCCACTCTTCCCTCCATTCCCTCCTCCTCCTCTTATCCCAGCCTCAACATCCCTACTATACCCCAGTTCGTGGACTTCCAGATCGATAGCCCGTCGACAGCTCTTCATGAGGTAGTAGCCGAAGAGACAGCAGAAGAATGTGATGAGGACGAGGGTGAGGATTATCGCGTGGACGTAGTACATCGTGTGGAGGTGGAGGTGGAGGTGGATGAGTGTGAGAGTGGTGTTGGGGTATGGGTTCATGAGACGATGAGTGAGTGGGTAAGTGAGTCTGACGCCGGTGTGTAGTGTTCGCATGAAAGAATAGTATGGGCGGATTGGTACGATGGCAGCGCCGAGGAAGAAAGCGCGGTGGTGAGACCAAGTGTCGGCGCGTTCTAATGTCGCGTTGGTATCGGGGGCCGCGGGCGGCTTTGCAAAGCGCGAGACGTGCTGCTATTACTGTGCGGTCGAAGACATGGCGGAAAGATCAGGGTAGCGCGAGTATGAGACTCTCGTGTGGAAGCGCAGTAATGGCGGTAGTGTATAACTGCGATGTTGCGATATCGCGACCTAGAGGGAAATCCATCTTCACCTTCATTTTCACTTTGCTAAGAGAGATTAGAGCACATACAGTCATGTTCAACGCCGCATTTTGAAACATTCCTCTACAAGGGGAATGCGTATTAATAGTATTGATATTGTCTAATCATCATATATGTTATTACACAGGAACATAGTTCACTGCCCCATCATTCACTCTACAGCAGCAGTACCCGCCTCAACAGGCTTAGGACTTCCTTTCTCGCCCCCACCCGGCGCAGCAAGAGTGATATTCTCCCATACCCCCACATCCTTCTCCGCGTCCACACCCTTTGCTTCCTCCTTCACCGCCTCCTGCACCGGCGTCTGTACTTTCGCAGCCGGCGTGGGTGTAGGCGGGGGTGGCGGCGCGACAGGCTTCCTACTCGGACTGCTCATCTCCCAAAACCGCCTCGGCACGTTCTTCGCCGGCGGCATACCCAGGAAGCCCTTTCCGCCCATACTCTCTAGTGGTTTGGCTCTGCCTCCCACATAACAGCCTAGATCACCGCTCCAGACGAAACCGCCGCCTACCACGCCTCGCAGTACGCCGAAAGCGCGGGCGTCGCGGTATGCGATCCCTGTCTCTGGATCACGGTATCGGGCGATCGTATTGGTAATGGGACACAGCTTTTGTCCTGGCTTGAGGACAATCTCTGGCTCGGCTTTGGGCGCGGCGTTCTTCCGGGGTGGTTTCGGGGGCGCGATGAGGGTTTGTTGGATGTAGTTTGCTGCTTCGGCGGGGGTCCAGTTGAAGAGTGCCGTGTAGAGCTGCACTAAAGCTGACTTGTCCTTCTCTTTGAGGAGCGAGGCTGCTGTTCTGGCTCGCGACGAGGATGTTGGTGGAGCTTCTAGGTTGGGGAAGTTGGAGAGGATGAGAAGGTTGCGGAGAGCTCGGCGTATGACTTTGCGTCGCGGTGGCTGAGGGGGTAAGGCGGGTTTTTGGAATTGTGCGAGGAGGGCTTGGGGGCCGATAGCTGAGTCGCCGTTTTGCTGGGGTAGAGAGGGGTGGAGTTGGTTGAAGAGGGCTGTTTGTGCGTCTGAAGGTTGATTCTGGAAAGAAGAGGCTTCCGTAAAGGGGAACGGAGGAAGTTCGTTGCCATGCATCGGCTGGGATTGCTGGTCCTGGGCGTATTGGTCGATGCCATAGAGGAACGAGTCTTGGCTGGGTGGTGCGAACATTACGGTGCTAGGATGTTGCATACCGAACGAGCCCATGAACACATCGCCGCCTTGCGATGCTGCTGCTGTCCAAGGTTGTTGTGAGTTGTCTTGTTGTGGGGGCATGGTTGCGGGTATTGGGGACATGTGTGTTGAGCTACTGAACTGATCCAGAGACGGAAAAGAAGGCTGTGGATTATCTGCATGGTTATCTGGAGCTTGTACTGGAAGCTCAGCCGACTCTGGCTGCGTCGTTGATGTTTCCGCAGCCGTAACCTCCTTGTTGAGCTTCTCCTCAAGATGCTCCAAACTTGGTGCGTCCTTGCCAGTGTACTTGAGCTTATCATCGACCCAGATGCCCGGTCCGCTATAGTATCGGTAAAATGGCCCGTCGATCTGTCGGTTCTTCAGGGCGTCAATCTTGGCCTGCCTCTCTGCTGCCCTGGCTTCCTCTGCCTCTTCCCATCTGTGTAGGGTTTTCTTGTTGATGCGCTCATTCCGAGCAGCCTCAGCAAGCCTCTCAGCTTGCGTCAAAGGCTTCTCCTTGGACTTCATCTTCCGCGCCTCTGCAGCCTTCATCATAGCCAGGGTGTCATCGCGCCTCCGGTCCTTCTCCTTCAGCTTAGCCAGCGTGGCATCCTTGTTTGCCACTGTCTGTTTGCGCATCGACATTCGGACCGGGCCATCCTCTTCGGTAGGCAGCCATGATGCCCTCTCGGATTTCTTCTTTGGGCGCGGAGGCGCAAGCGTGGGCGACTGTGTGCGGGGGACGTCGAGCTTGACCTTCTTGCGTGCTTGGGCGGCGACTCGTGCAGTGAAGGGATTCGTCGTGGCTTTGCGCTTCTTATTGCGCTCTTGTCGCTCGGCCTTGCGCAGCTCCTTCTCGCCCGCCTCGTCCTCGTCGGCATCGTCATCACCCTCTTCTGATGATGACGAATCCATGTTGTAGTCCTCCTGCTCATTGACATCACCGCCTTGAAACTCCTCCTCGTTTGGCGCTTCCTCCCATTCTTCACCCCATTCCTCCTCCTCGGCCGATTTGGCGAGCAGGATGGACATGCGATTGCCGGCATTGGATCGCTTGGCCCTGGACGTGACCATGAGCTCCGCGGACGCTTCCTCTTCGCTCTCATCCTCGGATGCCTCCGACTCGTCATCGCGATGCGACGGCGGGGCATCCTCCATGGCTGCCTGTGGCTCTTCGGACATGGTGAATTAGAAGTCCGGCGGCAGGCGCGAGGTAGGCGGGGAAGGTGCAGACGAGGCGACTGGAGCCTGAGGCAGAGCGAGTCGGATGGCAGCGATCAAGGTTTGGGCGAGGCTTTCCAGAAGGATTCCATGCGACAGCGACACGGATTATGCGCTCCAGCTGTGGGGTGAACGGTTGGCAGCATGGACTGCAGGGCGGCGGATTCGTCTGAAGTGCGGTATTATGCGGATTGTTTCAAGCGGCGTGATGGCAGCATGTCGTGAATTGCGCGGAGTGGGCGTGGAATCGAGAGCACGCGCCAGCATGACGCGACGGGCCATGGAAAGTCGCCAAGTCAGCAGCAAAGGCTTGGCGCGGCCCGTCTGCATCTGAAACTTAGTGCGCTTATGATAGAATCAGATAGATAAACGTCGTTCCAAGGTACCGCACCATCGGCTGTCAACGCCTCACTAAAGCTCTTTGGGTCTGCGTGGCCTGTCAGCCTGTCTACTTCAGGACGTGCAGACAAGGCATATCCGCCGTGGTCTGACATATATGTTTTCTAGAAGACTTGTTTCGACTGTGTGGATGCTGCGTCGATGCATTGCAGGGTCGTAGTCTATTGCCTTGATTGCGTGCCACATTGTATGCTAGATGATAGCAGAGACTCAGTAATGGCGTACGCATCGGGCTCAGAAAGTCTAATAGGCCGTTGTATGCATGCAGGACCCCAACGCACCTTCATCCATGTTTAGCAGCAGCAGGCCAATCACGTCTCATGGTCGGGCAGAGGCACACAGTGTCCACGTCAGATTCTGGAGTAACGGACTTTCTCGACGCGCCTCTGTGTTTCAGACGCTGGCGGGCATGCGCTGCTCTGTCCCGCGGCCACCCACTAAGGACACAATTGCAGGACGCAGCCCTGGAGCCACCCGGGCGCCCTTTGTGTGCCCCTGAATTGTACAAAAGCAATGCACCGCAGCCGTGCCATCGCAACCCTCACTCGCCGTTGCACTTAACAGCCCACCTACAACCGTAGCCGACCGCGCAGATCGTGCCGTAACCTGTAACGTGCTTGTTCTGGCAGCCCGCCCAATTGAGCTAGTTCCCTCGTGTTCCTGGTGGCTCCCCATTTCTATCAAGCGAACCTCACCATTCATTCCCTCGCAAGCATCGCTCCATCGCTCATCGCTCTCTTGCTCCCGCCGCGACAACTAGCTGTATCCGCCTCCGCACGAGCTCGCATGTGTAATCGGCCCTCGTCCGCTTAATCCTATTACTTCTGTTCTCCAGGCACTCCGGTGATCTGTCTATTCCGCCCGCCTGCTGCTGTACAGTATCAGTACCATAATCGACACCCGCCCAGTCTCCGTCACTCCTTCGCGGCCTCCCTCGCCGTCGAGCTGCACCACCGCCCCCGGACTGGATCCATCGTGTGTCGTCGTCTTCCACTGTACACCAGGCTGCGCTGTGCTGAGCCCGGTCTTGCTGGCAATAATCCCTCGCCTCACATTCCTTTGGCCGGCACCAACCCTCCTTCGATCCATTACCCTGGCTTTGGTAACCGAGTCACGACGACTATTCTTCCCTATTAGACTACCCAGGTCACCGCAGGGTCTGTAATCCATAATGGCTCCCACCACCAACCGCCCCGAACACCACATCAACCTCAACTACATCCCCCAGCTGCCCCAGCCGCCGCACTCGGGCTCCTCGACGGGCAACACCTCGCCTGTCGAGCCTCCCAACAGCGGCTCCCTGCGCTTCGCTGGCAATGCCGCGAACCCGCTTGGCAACGCGAGGCTCGGGAACGGGTCCCCGTCGCATGAGTATGGCGGCCGCCTATTTTCCAAACGGTATGTCGCACCCTGAAACAAGTTCCGACTCGTGCTAACACCCTGACAGTGCACGCGAGATTCAGGCACAGGAGGGCTTAACTCCGCAAATGTGGGGACCTCCTACCAGCGGGAATTCCACGCCGCTGCGCGAGACCATCCCCGAGTCCCCCAACAGCGAGAACTTGAGCTTCCCCGACTTCAACAACGCCGTGCCAGACACCATGTCAGCTGCACCCGCTCCCAACCGCCGCGCCCGCGCTGGCACACTGCCCTCGCGCTTCTCCCCCTCCGCTGCCCCTCCCGGCCTCATGTCCGGCTCCTCGCTGCTCCCCAAGAGCTCCCGACCAACGCCCTCCACGAGCCCCTTCAAGCCTGGGCCAGGCACACCGACCGACAACTCGAGCTTCAACGCGCTCGGCTCTACAAATGCTGCAGCCAAGTCTGCACTGCTCTCACGTCTGCGTGCTGGCTCAATGCCCCAGCGACCGGGTGGCTACCTCCCTCCTTCCAACTCGCCGTTTGGCAACTCCATCTTCTCGGGCGGCTGGTCAAACCAGCGTGACCGTAGCAGCACACTCCAGAGCATTGCCTCTGTGCCGTCAAACGGACAAGGTTCGCCGAGGTCTTCCTTCTCTCGCGACTCGCTCGCCGACACCGATGTCAAGACCCTTGACTACCTTGGTTTGGTAGACACCCCGCAGCCTGCGCGAGCTACCCTGGCTCCGTCCGACATTGAGCTGCTCCTCGAGAGCCAGAGGAACGCCAACAACCAGAACTCCGGCGGTGCAAACCGCTTCCGTTCATACTCTGTCAATGCCAAGGAGAAGTACGCCGAAGAGGAGGAGGATCAATATGGCGCATACAGCGGCACTATCACTCCTGCCGAAGCCAACGCCCTTCTCATCCACGAGGCTGTTCGCCAACACAACCTCGAAGTCCAGGCCTTTGCGAACCTCGCTTCCAACGCGCGCCCACGTGCTCGTACCGCCGGCGTGCTAGATGCTCCTTCGCGGGGCATGATGCGGCCCTACTTGCCCGCCATGGGCCGATTTGACAACGGCATGGGAACTGGTGACTTGACTGAGGATGCAGAGTACAATCTTACTGAGGCTGTCAAGAAGCTCCACTTGCCTGGCTCAAACCTTGGCGACGATGGAACTCTGGAAGGACCCACTCGATCGCTGTGGCTCGGCAACATCCCATCTTCGACCACTGTTTCGTCGCTCCAGGTCATCTTCGCTCAGTACGGTGGCATTGAGTCTACCCGCGTGCTCACACATAAGAACTGTGGGTTCGTCAACTACGAGAATCTCGAGAGTGCAGTCCAGGCAAAGTCAACCCTGAATGGAAAGGAGATCTTCCCAGGTGCTGGCCCCGTCCGCATCGGTTACGCTAAGATTCCAAGCGCAGCAGCCACCCCCGGCCACAATGGTCTGTTTCCTTCACCAAGCCCTGACCCATTGTCAAAGACTCAGGCTGAGGGTACAGCTGGCTCTGCCGCCGCTACCAAGGTGGCCAACATTCCCGCGAATGTGCCTTTGACCACTCCAAAGCTCAGCGACATCCGCACCGACATCATCCAGATTGTGAAGGAGTTGGGTGCCACGGACGACGAGCAGACAAGGATCACCACCAAGGTCGAGAAGGCTGTCCAGTTCAACAACTATGTCGATGAGATCCCATCTGTCGAGGAGCCGAGCCATACTCGCATTCACGACGCTCCTAGACTGCGAGAGATTCGCAAGCGCATCGACAACGGATCCTGCTCCAAGGAGGACATCGAGAACATCGCCATGGCCATGCTCCCAGAAATCGCCGAGCTGTCTTCTGACTACCTTGGAAACACTGTCGTCCAGAAGCTGTTCGAGTTCTGCGAGGAGCCTACCAAGGAAGCCATGCTTCGCGAGATTGCACCCCACCTAGCTAAGATTGGTGTGCACAAGAACGGAACATGGGCTGCCCAGAAGATCATCGATGTATCCAAGTCCGAGACTATGCAGAAGATGGTCGTGGATGCTGTTCAACCTTATGCCATGGCTCTCTTCCTGGATCAGTTTGGTAACTACGTCATGCAGGGCTGTCTCAAGTACCAGAAGTTCAACGACTTTATCTTCGAGGTCATGTTGGGCAGACTCTGGGATCTCGCCCAAGGCCGATTCGGTGCCCGTGCTATGCGAGCTTGCTTGGAGAGCCACTACGCCACCAAGGACCAGCAGCGCATGGTAGCTGCTGCAATCGCTCTTCACAGCGTGCAGCTCGCAACCAACGCGAACGGTGCCTTGCTCCTGACCTGGTTCCTCGATACCTGCACCTTCCCAAGGAGGCGTACGGTTCTGGCTCCCCGCCTAGTCCCTCACATTGTCCATCTCTGCACACACAAGGTTGCATACCTCACCGTTCTGAAGATCATCAATCAGCGCAACGAGCCAGAAGCTCGTGACACCATCCTACAGGCATTGTTCTTCTCTCCCAACGACCAAGTGTTGGAAAGCATCTTGGCCGACCAGAACTGCGGTGCCACCTTGATCTTCAAGGTACTCACCACCCCCTTCTTCGATGAACAGATCCGCACGGATGTAGTAACAAACGTCCGCAACGTTCTGTTGCGCATCAAGGCGCAGCCCCAGCAAGGCTACAAGCGCCTCATGGATGAGGTCGGTCTTTCCACCCGTGGCGGACCTGGTCACCGTGACCATTCCGCAACCCGGCCAGCGTCGAAGGACAGCATTGCATCTGGACCGCCAAACCCTGGGCAATTTTACCAGGGAGCGGCACCTGGCTTCGACCCTGTTGCGCTCCAGCGCACAGCAAGCATGGACTCCAATGGTTTCGAGCAATACCCAATGGGTGGTGGGCCCATGTACATGCCAAACATGCAGGCCATGAACAACCAGCAGCAGATGCAGTACCAGCAGCTCCTAGCCCGACAGGGTCAGTTCTACCCTCAGATGAACGGCTTCCAAGGCCCAGTTCCGGGTATGGATGCCTACCGCAACGCGTCGCCTGTTGCAGGCCCCGGCAGCTTCAACGGATCACCAATGATGCAGCCCGCCAACCTCGCCGGTCAGGGCATGCCCGGCATGTACCCTCCCTATGGCATGTACATGCCGCCCCAGCACCAGCAGGCGGCTGGAGGCAACCAGCGACGTGGCAGAGTAAGCAGAAATGCGTCCCCTGCTAACAGCGTCCGCCGTTAACATCTCTTCAGAGATAAAAATCGCCTCGCCTGAGGGTTTAGATTCTCATCTCCTCTTAGAAATTACTGTGTTGCCAGGAAAAGCAGCACTATCTTCCTGTATATGATTCGGATCTTCACCTACAACGCATCTGCTAGCGAGCATTTCCTTGCAAAGCGGCATACTACCATACTTGCCATGTCTTCTCCTTGATGTCTTCGGACCTTTACGATTTTCATATCTATTCTTCACTCAATCGGCACGTGGCTATCTGTCGGCCGACGGTCCGTCTTGTCTCGTCACTCGCTTAGTCACCGCTGCTTGGTGTTTCGGGGCGTACTCTTTGGAGCTTGTATGTCGTTTCGAAATGAAGAGGAGCCTGCCTTTGTGGGCTCTTGTCGATCGATCGGATGATCACTGTATCGATATGAATGCGCATATGAGAGTCTGGTTGGAATGATATATGCGACCGGTGACGCCGCAAAAGTACCGTTACAATGGCATGATGTTTTGGATTTGGGAATCTTTGGACACCGATCTTCTGTCTTCGTGGACTGCATGGTGGATGGAGGTGCGGGACCGGGCTCGAGCCTGCGAGCTAGATAGAATCGAGGCCCTTCTTACTCTACGACCGCATTATAGTCTACATGTTGTGACATTTTATGTGCGTCGTCATGTACCACCCAAACAGTGAGTCAATCAATGGTTTCGTGACTCTGGCTCGCGCACGTACAACGTTCTGAGCAAGGTACGTATATGACTATACCGCTGGCTCATGCTTCATCGTGACATCGTTACAGTCACTTGGTAGTATTTAATCACATATATGCCTAACCTGTTCTTCTACATCTTCAGGAAGATCTATTCTACTACTACAAGTCACTAAACTTCCAATGAATCCCCCCGAAGGCAACAACAATATGCCCGCTGCAAAAATGCACAAAGTCTGGCGTCTAAAACATCAGTGGAAAGGGAAAATAACATTCGGCTATACAAACTCCAAAGAGCTGAGAGAACTTCACCAAAAACTTCTCCCGGAGTTCTACGAAGGCAAGAACAAACTCAAAGACGATGACGAGTGGGACCCCAAGGAGGTTGAAGATACGTGCGAGTGGAGACGTTGCAATGGGGGGGCCCTGGATCTTCAAAATGAATTCCCTGAGCATCAGTGGCCTGAGGGAGACTTGTGGGCGACTCAGTGGTGTAAGTTTTTTTCGGGAAGAACTGCTTCGGATAGGTGTACTAAACTTCTTTTTAGTGCTCAAGGAGATGAGGGAAGTGTACCGTCTATCCTCACTCCTCTTGATTACATATCCCGCAACGCTCCCCAAAGACGGCAACATTCCTGATGGAAAGACAGCCAAGGCTCTCACAAACCATCTGCGCTTCGAAGGATTCTTTGTGGACGTGTTGAAAGGAAAGTTGAAGCTCGAAGGGTGGGAAGTTGAAGATATCGGCGTTATCACATATGAGGAGGCTAGTAAAACGCACAAAGTCAACGATGGAGAGCCTGTAGAGATTCCAGAGGGTCAAGAATGGGACTGTGACGAGAAGGGTAGATGGGCTACTACTAGACGTACGTCAACATACGCAAAACCACACAAAGGCCTGTGGACTAATTCATTGTTTAGTTATGGCAAGACTCCGTGCTTCTATGTATTATGGAATAGCATACGGTACCAAAACGGATGATTCCACCACCACCACTATCGGTCACACCAATGAACACCACATCGTCCAAACGTCGGACGACATGATTCATCCATCACCCTTCGTTTTTGAAACTTCCACATTCCTTTTTGCCAAGAATGAGAAAGAAATCGAAAAAGCTAAAGAAAGCGACGGAGGATGTGTGGCTGTCCACGAAGATCTTACTCGCGGGAACACAGGGGACGGTAAATGGATCACGAGAGGCTGTAAGTCGCTACTATAGAACATAAGAGCATACCAAGATGGTGACGCCAAACGATTGTATAGTGCAAGCCGGATATCTCGAGTTTGAGGCTCAAAAGAAAGCTCGAGGAGGCGAGCAGGCCCCGGGGACTGAAATCGTGAGCCCAAACTAGATCTGTCGAGATTGGCGTTGTGGCAGCAGAAGCTGGGCATGAGTGTGGTATCTGGTCGGCTTACCTCAGACTTATAGCTCTGTTGATGAGCCTTTTTGTCTAGGGATTATAACTTTATATGCGATAAACCAAAGTAATAGAGTTGGTCGCTTTCATTGACATCTCACCAAGTTGATCCCGACTACTCACCGAGCTTCAACATTAGACGCCTAGACGGAATAGCCCAAGGGGAAAGTGCCGAAGGGAGCAGGAACAAAACAAGAGAAAGGTGAGTGACGTTGAGCTCGGTGTCATTGACGATACATCCCGGGAATATGTCTGTCACTCATTCTTGACTCACAAGCTGATACAGCGATTCCGAGAGTCATTTCGCATACTCAAGACCTCGGTGTGTTCAGCAGTAGCCTATACCTTCACCAAACCTTCATGTAACACTTCACTGCACCACACTGCATCTATCTTTCCACCATCACGTATAACAACAATGCCGCGCACCTACTCGATAACCTACATAAGCACTTTGCCCAATGAGAGCATTACTCCAAACGGGGACACGAGAGTCGGCATCACAAATCATATACCCTGGATAGACATCGTTAAGGAGCTCATCAAATATCCAGACTTCAGAGGATGGAAAGTCGAATATATAGGCAATTTTCTAAAAGGGGAGGCCAAAAGAAGAAACAAACGCAAATATAAAGATGGGAGGGTGGTGGATGTTGTACATGGAGAGTGGAAGTCCGATGGTTGTGGCCGGTGGGCTACGACTGGATGTAAGTACATCGCGCACGCATCCACATCATAACTATGTGTATAACTACGTTCAGTGATGGCGAAACTCAACAGCATTAAACTACTTTACGAGATCAAGTACTGTAGCGAACCTATCCGCGGCGTTCGTAACATCGTTGCAACCGGCTACACGAGCAGTCACTCCATTGCGAGGGGTATTGAACGCATTCTGAAGTTACCTTGGTCTTCGTATTCAAAGTTCAGCGAATGCAAAGTAAGACCCTTCAGGAACGACACAGAACTTAGGGAACACCAAAAGAAGGATGGAAGATGTGTGCGCCTCTTCAAACCGGATAGAAACGGGAAGATCGTTGACGATGGATGGATTACGAAAGGCTGTAAGTTTTTGCGTTTGTGAGAAGTGTACCGCAAAAGTTGTGCTAAACTTCACTTTAGTATTTGCCGAATGTGAAGTGGCTGCGAATCTAATTCGCCATAGTAAGAGTGAGCAAGCTACATACCTCCGATACCTGGCCCAAATGAAAACGCGCGAAGACGCTCGGGAGGACGAGGACGGTTTGGAAGTGTGAGTCGATACTATATCTATCAAGTTCGGCGATGTGGCGGGAGGATGCGGGTGCAAATGCAGTAACTGGAGGCTCTGTCTCGATCTCGGGCCTATAGCTCTGCCAATAAACCTTCATGTGTAGAATTTCCGGAGGCCTATGCAACAGGACATGTATGTACATGCTTTGGCAACTCAGATCGCCCCATATGAAGTCTGACTACTTAGTCTTCGACTGATATGTCCATAACAGTGACCAGTCATAGCGTCCATCATGACAAGCCTTTATGTAGTCATGAAGTGACCAGTCATCATAAGGTCAGAAGTCATCATTGCAGTCATCGCCCAGACGTGTACCTCTATATCTTCTGGTACATGTAGTCCTCGAAAACTTCCCCAAACTCTTCACAACGCCCGCAACACTACTAACTAATTTTACAACATGGACAAACTCCTTAACATAATTTATCCTCCGAAACGGCCACATGTACTGCGTGGAGTAGTCTATACCGATTCTGCCTACCTTCAAGCACGCATCGACGAGTTGAAAGAAAAATTCTTCAAGGAGTGGGAGGTCATTGATATAAGTGATACTACCACGGAGAAGACGAAAGAGGGACTCAAGAATATAGAGGGTTACCCTGAGGATATTGATATGGAGAAGTGGGGATTGACCAAGAAGCGATGGGCTACACCTAGTCGTAAGTAAAATCATGAGGAAGCAACACCATTTCGGTCGATTAATACTTCGTGTAGTAATGAGAAGGCTTGACGAGCTTTGGCCATTGATTGAAATGGACAATGTCCATGAAATCACCTATCCTGACAGTGCTGGAGAGCCCATAGTCGACTATTCAAACAGCAGACAATTCATCAAGCGCATCAAGGAAGAGCTACCTCCAGGATTATCATGGTCGTGTGTCCCCATTCATGTCGAGAACGAGGCAGCTCTCAAAGAGTTTCGAGACGGTGAAGGTGGATCTAGACGCATCATAAAAGGTCCCACCAAAGATAGAAAGGGGCCAGGTTTCAGATTCTGGGTTGGTTACCAAGGGGAAGAAGGTGGTGACGATGGGTGGTGCAGGAAAAGATGTAAGTTTCCACTGCGGTCACTCTGGAGAGAGCAGTGATGAAGCTGACAGTATGTCTAGTACACACCGCATTTACTGAGACTTTACAACAAGCTCACAACGACCAAGTAAGAACTGAAGAAAGCATAGCGAAAGGTCCAGGAGAAGAACAAGTGAAAGTCACAGTGGAAGACGCAGCGAAAGACAGGGTGGAAGCCCCCGTTGAAGGTACTGTGGAAGACACGGTGCAGGACAAAGCCGAAGACGCGTTGCTGCCTAGCAAGAAGATTCCGGAGCGCAGAATCATCTAGGCACTACTTGGAACACGATGCGGTGGTATGGAGAAGCTATAAGCATACTGAATGAAGGTACAATTCTCATAATTTACATGCAACGATGACAGCTGATGGTCCATGTTTCGTCATCCATGTGAGCAGCATTCTGCATTTGCTGGCGAGATGGCTCAAACAAGACTCACTGAATGAGAAAATGCCCCATATGAGTGGTCATCTACACAACAGTCATGCACTGCTAAACAGCAGTCACATCTTGACTCATTCGCTCTGGGTCACACGGTGGCGCTGAGCAAACTTATAAACTCAGACCCCTTATAGTCCTTTCATTCATTTTTTCTTATCGCACACCGCGAAGACGTTTACTATACTCCTCTCGGTCCACGCATCCCCCAAGTTGTTACTCCCATTCCCTCAACATGAGTACCGCCTACTCCTTGAAATGCACATATTTAAAAGCCTCTGTCACCAAGCCTAAGATGGTGGAGGGCAAAACGAACAATGCCGAAGTCCTCCGTGAAATTCCAAACATGAACGAGATGTTGGAAGGTAGAGAATACTGGGAGTGGACACGTCATACCAACTTGAGCGAAAAGGAAATCAAGGAATTTCAGAATGAGGATGGAGGACTTCATCACTTGGAAGTGAGATCGACAAGCGAGATTGAAGAGGCAAAGGCGGAGAGGGTTGCTGGGAAACACAAGGACGGCAACCAGAGGAACAAAAACGAACTGGAAGATGAATTTGACGACGTTGCGGACGAACCTAAAGTATGGACAACGATAAACCGTAAGCCACCTCTGCAGCATATGAATCACTCATAATGCTAACAGACACCACAGTATATGAGGCCTGGGAACCCAGTAAGAAAGAAGCCCACGAACGCTATGCCGCCGTTTTCGCAAATCATAAGAGCGATAAGGTTCAGAGTTCTGGTTAGCTTGAGGGCTACACATGCAGCTTGTGGTGGTGCGTGCCGGTACGGCATAGCGAGAGTTGTATCGGATGAAGGAGAATTTTTGATACCACCTAGTTCCTGAATGGCTATGCTCGTTACTCATTCATCTTCACCGTCGACCACGAGGTTGACTCCTTGTGTGACTATCGTGGCTTTGCATGTAGTCATACCAGCATGACCGTGGATGACTGTAACTACCACGTATGTAAGTATCTTGCTCTTTCCGACCAGTACTGCAAACCGACAGTTACCTATAGGACAGCCCGAAGCATCTCGTAGCTCTCTCAGCTCTCTCAGCTATAAGTAAATGTCCCAGTCACTACATGCAAGGCAAACGTGACGGAGTCAGATCATGAAAGAAACTTACATCTGGGAACAACAAAGCTTCAATTTTTGCCGCCCTCTATGAATTGAGCGTGGGTATCATGAACTGCCTAAACGCGCCGTAAATCCCTAACAAATACAATCACATCTTAAACGTTGAAAAACATTGCTGATATCACACCCTGGAGGTCCTCGTCGCGTCAAAGCCCAAACGCTCAGTGACCGTTGAGACCGTCGCTGAATTTCCGCTTTTTAGCCTCGCGCTCGCCGTCCTGGGGTGGGCGGTATTGGTCCAGTTTGCCCTGCAGACGGTACGTTTCCCGCTTGATATTCTCCGCGTTGGCCAAAAGGTCCATCTCGGTGACCGGAGCTTCAATACTAGCCAGCACGCTCTTAACAGTGCTGATATGATTGGCATCCTTTTTGTCGTCGCGCCAGCGCGGCGTTCCGTCTGCCTCGGCCTTGTATTTCCACTGCCCACCTTCTGTGCGGTAACATTCTATGATACGGCCGTCGAGGCGTTGGTTTAGAGATTTGAGTGTTTCCCACTCGGCGGGGGTGACGAAGAGGTTGGCGAAGACTTCGTAGTCATTCGAGTTATGATGCACGAGCAGTTGGAGGGGGGTGGGCATCGCATCGTAGTCGGGGATGAGGCCGTCTTCTCCGTCTTGTGGGTCTATGAGTGGGAAGTCGCCGAGGCGGAGCTTGAAGTCGATGGTGTTCTCATGTGGTGGCTTCCACTTGAGGATGTGTCTGTCGGTACCGAACTGGTAGGGTGTGGATACGCAGGTGAAGATTAGGCCGTCGTTGCCGTGTCGGAGGTTGGGGAGGATGCTGCTGAACATGTCTTCGAGCTTGTATGAAGGGTAGGTCTTCTTTCCTTTGAGTGCAAACGGCTTCAGGTCGTCTGGTGTAATGTTCTTCCCAAATGTCCTAGTCAAGCCGGCTTCGTACGGCTTGATGACCCATTCATGCAGCCGACCCAACCGCTTGTCCAGCGTCCTTTGCGTCACATTTGTATTATCCACCGCCAAGCAATCGAAGACATAAAAGTTGAGACGTGGGGCGGGCTCGTTTGGATATTGGTCATGAACCAGTTCGCCGTCCAGAAGGGTGCCGAACAAGAATGGCTCGGCTTCGTTCAGGTGCTGGTAGTGACGTATGCGAAATGGAGGCTGAACGTTGTAGTAGTTGTTCTTCCTGTCGATCAGGAAAGTCACAGGCTCGAAAGCTCCTGTCGGTCCCTCCTGCCAGTGCAAGTAGAGCAGGCAGCGCAAGCCGTCCGTCTTCTCGCACATGTAGTATTCATTGCGCTGGAGCTCGGCGACGTGTTCGCGCGAGAACGATACGGGCTGCGCGCCGGGAAAGCGTGGGTTATCGCGTTCGAGAAGTTCGGCGACAGATTGTTTGAGTGAATGCGCCTCGTCATTCGGTATTTGGAAGCCTGGAATCTGCGGCGGCGCGTGTGATGGTAGCGCGGCGGCCGGCATATTTGGGAAGATACTGGAGGTAGTCGCGGCGCTGTAAGAGATAGGGCTTCTAGCGCGATATAATTCGTATGCGGAGGCGATTGGAGGAGGGTTGGCTTTGGTCGTAGTCGCAATGATAGTTGTACAAGCAATAGATCGCCCGGGCGAGCTTACGCGCTAGTGAAGGGTCTGCTTATGTAATCACCAGCTGCGCTACGTAGTGATGGCTGTAGCATGACCCATCATGCTCCCGAGGTCCTGACCTCAACCACCGTTTAGACGAATGTTTGGTGTCGCATCAGATTCGTCGAAATTTATTCTGCTAGCGTACCGACTTTCCGATGTACTCTACTCCAACCATGGTACTACGACCGCGCACAATGCCGCGCCTATCAGCCATTTTCAAGCATATGACACCAACATAGCAACTGAAAACTCAGAGACACAAATTCCTTTGCTCTTGCCGATACTTCTTTTGTTCTTCAACAAAATCATCACCACAATTCTCACATCCAGTTACTGCCAGACCCCACACTCACGATGAGCGACTTACCCACGGAGATATGGGCCATGGTGTTCGCATATTCCGACGATACCAAACACCTCTGGCTTTCCTGCCGCAAAGTCTCTAGTAATTTGAAGGCTGCAGTCGAAATTTACATCAGCACCATCTTCCTCCCAAATTTCCTCACAGTATCCCTCGAATATCAGAGAAAAAACAAATCGACCATATCCTGCAGTCGCGGTCTTTTCAAAGGATACTCCCCAGACAAAACCCTTGCTTACTTCGATATGAGCCGTAACGACCGGCCATTCATTCAGTACGTTGACACGCAGCGAATGTGTCTCTACGTCGACAAACTACAAAGGGCATGGACAAACAAGGGGTTTGAAGTGCTGGCGAAATTGAAAGGGCCAAATCACGACCGTGCGATCTTTGTCAGACTTTTGGATGGCGTCACTGCTAGCCCTGCGGATACTAACGAGGGAGTTCTCACCTTTGGGCTCGACTTGGAAGATAAGATCCTGTGCTTTGACTGGCGAGAGGTCATGACCAAGAGCTTCATGGATAGTACTGATTGTGGGGGATATCTTATCGACCACCTGGCGTGGCGCGGTCGTGATAACAGGTTTCCCTGGTGGTGTTAGTGGTGGTTTTGGACTGCTCTATCGGAAGTGAAGTCGGGAATGTCTGTGGGATGAAAAAGAAGAAACAGCTCTGATGTGTTGCTAAGGATAGGCTCTATCGCGATTGCACATATCAAATGAAGAGTGTTTGAGGGCTGTATAAGAGGTTTTGTTGCCACTGAACTCCAATTAAAGGGTATGTAGTCTAATGGCCAAGACGCCCACTCTTTCGAGGGTGTCGTCGGGCTAATGAGCTCGACGGTTCATGGAGATGCGGGTTCGAATCTCGCTGTATCCAATCACCTTTTGCTTTTTGTTTCGTTCTTTGGCTGGTCTATTGGAGATGGATTTGGAGATGTCTGGCGAGGGACAACAAAGAACAGTCATGACGAATGTGACAAAGAAGCACTACGAGGACTGTACATCGCGATCAAGGACATCTCGGCGGTATTTAAGAGGTACTATTCGTGTTAAATGTCAGTTGAAGGGTACATGGTCTAATGGCAAAGGCGCCCGCTCCTACGGGAGTGACGCTGGCCCCAGCCGGTAACGGTTGGCAACCCAGCGGAGAGGAGATGCGGGTTCGAGTCTCGCTGTATCCAATTGTATTTTGCTGCTTGTATTGTTTTTGTCTTCATAGTTGTCATCTCGTTCTAGGGTTGTGCTCCTTAGTTAACACAAAGTCCTAGCTAGTCTGAGAACTAGAGACTGCTGTACCTTAACTATCTCGTCAAACAAAACAAAGAATTAACTAGACTACTTTAAGTTCTTGCAGCTATAGGTGTTGGGGTAGGCTGATGTTTTATTAGGAGGTAGACATTAATAAACAAGTGCATACTGGGCTCGCTTTTCGCTAGAACCACAGGCCTCGTGTTCAGAAAGAGCACCTCAGTATCCAAGCTTTCACTCAAATTAACGCCACTTCCTTAGGCTACTACAGACCTAGGTGTTTTTTTCGCAGGGGCAGATGGCGCGTTCTGATATAGGCTTTCAAGTTTTCGAGGAGCAACCCATGCGTAACTCCACCGAAACCGCCATGCTGTTGTCAACCCTTTCTCTCTTTTTGGCAATTGTCACAGCTTGTCCACCGCCCCTTAACAGCTTCAAATATGTCGCCAATTGTACCCACACAACATCACAGATGATCTCTAGCCTACTTGTAGCTAGAGACGGGTCTTCACTAAGTCGCAGATGGACTGAGATCGTGACTATGGTATGCTCGTTGCTACGCCCCAACGCATGATGTTCAGCTGACCGTTCAGCTAGTCCGGACAGCCTCGTACAGTGTGGCCCGACGGCCTCGTCCGATACTGTTTTGAAGACGAGAGCGCCCGCAACAACTTCAAGGACGACATTGACGCAGCCTGGAAACTCTGGGTAGACAAGATTGGGGAACCTGGTTGCCCAAGCGGTCACATACTTCAGTTCAGGGAGTACAGAGTCAAGGAAGCCGTGTGGCCGTACTGCTACAACAAACGCGAAAAGGATGACGACCCTTGGGTCTGGAATAAGCACGTCAAGAACGACATCGCCGTTGTCGCGGAATCCAAAGACACCGAGACACAGGCCTCTTCGGTCACGGGATACATACCCCAAGAATGGAGTGACGAGCAAGGTCGCCACGGCATCCATCTCGGTCTGTCATTCAAGCAAAAGTACCCGCCAGATTACTGGATCACAACCGTCGCCCACGAACTAGGCCACCTGTTCGGATTCTGGCATGAGCACCAGCGCGAAGACCGCAACGACTACGTTCACTTTGACTGCTCCAAACTGCGGGGTTACGCAGCTGCGAAAGCGAAAGTCGATGCGGCGAAAGAACATACCATGGAACAAATCTGCGCCGACTACCGTCTAGCTCTCCAATACGACTTCCCCGCTGTCCAAGACTACGATACCATTGACCATATCGCGCCTCTCCACGACGGAGGTATTGAGTTACCACTATACATCAACAATGACCTAGAATTCGACGACGAATCTATCATGTTGTATACCTCAGCGGAGTTCGCGAACGACGGAGCCAATACAGACGATGTCCTACAAGTCCCATTAGCATTCTGGAAGCACCGTGGTATAGGCTTCGATCCACCAAACCCAGTCACAAAAGAGGACCTAGAAATCATCGACGTGCGATGGAAAGTCAGCGACGGAGATGCAGACGGCGTCCGCCATTTGTACCCTTACATCGAATCGGACGAAGAGATGGAGAAGAGAAACCAACCTGGCCGCCGTACCTGGATAGAATGGACGTCTGAGTTCAATAGCATGGTATAACTGAGATGATACCAAGGTGAAGTATTATAGATTACAACCATATGTAAACGGCGATACATCCGTTCGATCAACGAACAGCGCCGTATCCGTGAGATAGATGAAAAGCAAGATCTTGAGTGGGGTATATAGCGAACCGAATGAATCCAACCGGCACAGTACGTCGCCGCGCAAGATCGTCCAGTCCATCGTCATGTACCGTAACGCCGGAGATCCAAAATCCAAAATCCAAAATAAGGCGCGTAGGCCTACATATCGTACATAATGTTACAGCGTATTATAACAGAGTTGCGAGCCAAAGGGGGCTCGTGAATGGATCCAGAATAGAACGCCTCGCTGGAAAAAGAAGGCCCGGACCCCGTAGTAGTGGTGGTGGTGGTGTTACATATATTACAGATGACATGTTCTCATAAACACGTCTCAGTCGCGTCGGTCGGTGATGTCAACGCATGTGGCTCCATCGTCTTCCATCTAGAAAAAGCCCTTGCTCTTTCCAGCTCCGAGTTTCGGGCTCATCGGTCCAAAGAGCTTCATATCCGTATTCATCTTCTTGACAAACACCAGATAGGCCTCCAGCGCCTCATCTTGCGTTTTGAAAGTCTTATCCCGATTCATCCACATCTTGAGGTATTTGTCCGAACCAACATCTTTCAGCGCTGCGTACCAACCGCCAGAGGAGCGCTGGCGCAACGAGATCGCTAGGTTCTTGCCTTTGAGACCAGTAACGTTGGACGCTTCGCGGAGGCAGGCGGCGCGTAGGTCGCTGTATTCATCGTCTTCGAGGGAAGAGGATGAGGACGTTCGCTCCATCTTTGGTCGCGACGAGGAGGTGCGAGCATCGAGCTTAGGACGCGAGGGTTCCTTGGGTTTGGGCGCAGGTTTCGATTCGGTCTTCTTGCGTGACGGGGTAGAGACCTTGAGCTCTGGGGCCTTCTTTGGCGGCGCGGCGGCTTTGGGTGTTGGGGGAGTTTTCGGTCGCGAACTTGACTTCTTCTCTGATTTGGACGACTTCTCGGCCTTTTCGGATTTTGACTTTTCAGACTTTTCTGTCTTTGAAGACTTCTCTGGCTTTGATGCGGAAGGTGTGCTGGTTTTTGACGGCGCGGATGGTTTCGATGCGGTAGCTGTCTTGGAAGACTTCGACTTCGATGGTGTTGGCGGTGTGGGCTTTTCTGGTGGCGATGTTCTGGCCTTGAAGGAATCGAAAGGACTTGGCCATGCGCCTATGGCTTTTGGTGTTTCTTCGACCACTGGCGCATCTTTCTTTGACCTGGAGGTTTTCGCGGGCGTCTTTGGTTCTGGGGCCGTCTTAGTCGCAGCAGAAGCCTTGAGTGGCGCGCCTCTCCTTCCCGTCGCGACTGGAGGCGGAGGAGCAGCGTCGGGAACTGCAGCCTCTCCAAACAGCTGCCGTGCTCTATCCTTTACACTGGGAAACATCGCGTGTTCGGATCTGGGGTGGTATAACTCGGGCCGACTATACTGCTGGTAGAATGCAAAGTGCTAAACGCGCGATTACGATTAAGAGGTACTACAAATACACAATGACAGCGCGCGTCAAGACTATGCGAAATGGGAGAAGTAAACAAGATGCGTAAAGAGATGGAAACATTACTGGGGACCTCGGGATGGGATACGGATTATTCTGGTGCCTAGTTGTGCAACCATGACACGCCCCCATGCCGCATCGGCCAGCATGCGAACAGGCGTTCACATCCAAATCCTGCGTAATTGAGCTAGCGGCCGCTTCTAGAACGCTTGAGAGCATCTCGGAATGCGGGTGGCAAGCGGGTCCCGCGGTTGTTGTTTTCAACGTTATCGATTGAGCATGCTGGACGCGACTCCTGCCATGCGCGCCCAACTTGACCTCAGCATTGTTTCTCAACTCGATCAGCTTGAAAGCCCATCTGACAGCTGAGAAGAAAATTGTTTCATGGTGAAATGGTGTACATTGCGATGACCGTTAGGGGCAGTAACGTTACGAGCCACAGTGGCCCCTTTTCCGGAGAACCGGGCTGTGCGGGAAATTGGAACGGGGACGAAGGACGGCGCGGCAAACACCTTCCGGATGAGAACAATGGCCACAACGCTGCGCAAATGGTGTTGAAGGAAACAGTGGCATCATTGTCAGACGTTCGTGATGGAGATGAGATGACTTGCGATAAGGTGAGTTATCTTGGGCTGCATTGTGCATGCTGCACGTCAGTCAACGTGCAGCGAAACGGGTTCGGAATGTGGTATAGCGGGCTCCACCCCTTTAGCGCACCCTATTTTGAGCCACGTCTCTCATCTCATCCCAGATACCCCATACCTGTCCTTCGCTTACCCAGCCGTTCGCGCTCCCTAGGGATGCCTTGACATCCTGCTGAACCAGTCGCTTGGTTTCTCAAACTCTAGAATTTCTGCAACACAATGGTAGCTCAAAGGTTGTCTATTGTTTGTTTGTAATTATTCCAGCGCTTCCATGACACCCGGATCACTCCCAGCTCCTCGTGAACTTTACCAGTCCCAACCGTTCTGCTTTTCAGCCGTTACTATGGCGCCCCCTCAAGAATCCCTCCTTATGGCTCCCCAGGTACTGGCCAACGACCCGATCAGCAGCTCCAATAGACCGAAGCGAGTAAACTGTACGTAAAACACAAAAAGGCTAAGCATATGGCCCAACAATTTCCTGTGTTTTGGCCCAAACCTTGTCCTGGGCGCCGCTCGCCCTCAATCTCGCCAGCGGCTTCTCGTTGAGCGTCGTCTCACAAGTATGCCATATCAGGAACAAGCCTCCGTCTTTCTGTCCTACCGTGTTCTTCCCTTCCGCAACACCTTCCCTCAACGGTACACCTTTCCCTCCAAAAGCCGCACTGGTAATCTGATACACATACCTCTCACCGGCCTCCTCTTCCCTATACGTCATAATCCTGATAACCGGATCCATGAACATCCAAGCCGCCCACGAACCCCAAGACCCTTCCTTGAACCCGCGGAACAGATTTCCCGTCCGCACACTCCCTGGATGCGCGTGTATGAATACGATGCTCTTGTTCTCTGGAATCGCCGCAAGGCGTTCGAGTGAGAGCGTGGCCATGTTGATCATGTGTATCATCGTGGTCATGCCACCGAAGGCGCCCGGGGCTTCGAGTAGTAGATCATCTGGTTTGAAGAACCAGTCGGTTTCCATTCCGCCCGCGCGTACGCTTATTACGCGTGCGCGATCCGAGGCGCGGAGTAGGGGAAGGAGGTTTTGTGTGAAGCAGAATCGCGCGTAGAACTCTAGTGCTTGGCTAATGTCTAGGCCTTCGGATGTAGCTGGGTATGTAAGTATTGGATGAAGCGCGTGGGGAACAGAACTAAAGTTGCATCAACTTACTTTCTCGCCCGAAAAATGGTACGTATCCGGTTGTTAGGAAGAGGAGATCGATGCTGGTTTCGAGCTTCTTGATGTGGTCGCATATCCGCTTTACTTCTGACAGCAACGTCACCTGGCCTTCTACCCATACGATACTCGCATTTGGATTCGCCGTATGCAACTCGTCGATGAATGGCTGGAACGCCGCTTTGCTCTCTTTTCTTCCAACGACGTAGGCTTTGAAGTTTGTTCCCAGCTTTGCGATTGCTCCCAGCGTGATCTTTCCTATGCCTGAGGTCCCACCGACCAACACTGCAATTCGGGGTGCCGTCTCTTCGTCGATCTGCGCATTACTTTCTTTGATCTTGGTAAGGTGCACCATGTTGTTGCTGCCTTTAAAGATTGACTGTGAGTGTATGTCCTAGGTAATTTGGGTATCGTGGGTAAATACAGTGGATGCACACTGTGTAAGGGTTGAGAGTGCCTGGATATGCGGGCGCGGTTACCTAGCTGCGCCTCGTGGACGAATTGCGCACGGCAACAACGACCGGATGATTTCGAAAACCTCCGCGCAGCATTTTGTGGCAGTGACTGCATATGCGCCAAGTGTTTGTGATACCTTCCGAGGTCATCTGTGGTCGACAGCTTCTCAAAATCATTCGAGTTTGCCGCCGTCTGTTGCATTTCACAACATCTCCAAACACGAACGCAAGTAAAATGAAAGGGAGGTATGTGAAATGCTAATCTGATTGTATGGAAAATACTTGTTTCCTGCCATGCTCCCGTACCCATAACGCCTGCAGATTCTTGTCGAACTAAATTTACGCCTGCGCGCTGACAGGCTTGATGCCCACCTCGGTCATCTTCGTCTTCTCCACTTCCTCAACTGGGCTATCCGCCCTCTCTACAACATCAGTTAGACCCATGTAGTTCAAGCTCGCCGTCCAACCTAGGTCATCGCCGAAGTAATTCTTCATGACCTCAACACCGTACTTGATGCCGTTCTTCGGGTCGTATGTCAGACATTGCTTGCCAACTGCTAGACCAATGACTGCATCCCATGCTGGCAGCTCTGTTTGGGTGTACTGCTCGGTTGAAGGAGCAAGTTCTGAGTTGAGGATGGCAGAGTAGATGTTCTGTGCGGCGGCTTGACCCATGACTGTCGCGCTGCCTGCGCGCTTGATACCGGTCCAGGCGATCACATCACCGACGCCGAAGTGAGATGATGCGTTTGGGATATTGTCCTTGAACATCAGAGATTGGTGGACCATGATCTCCTTGTCCTCGTTTAGGCACTCTGTCGGCAAGACACCCGTGGTCGGTGTGCCCTTCTTCGTCGAGTCAATGACGAAATCGGCTGTGATTGTGTCGTTGTTTGCGAGTGTGACCGTGAACTGACCATTCGGCAGTTCTGCGATAGATGCGCGGCTACCCAAGACTAGCTTGACGCCCTCTTCTTCGAGCAGGATCTTTGCTCGCTCCTTAACATCTGCTGGTAGTGGCTCCGAAGACAGTACTTCACTCCGTGAGTGCACGAGTGTGACGTCGATCTCAGGGTAGTAGTTCTTGATCTCAGCAGCGAATTCGACACCGACCGCACCAGCGCCGATGACTACAACTTTTCTTCCTTCACACTTCGATGGGTCGCCGCCAGTGATCTTCTCGA